GGGGATGTGGGGGATGTGGGGATGTGGGGGATGTGGGGATGTGGGGATGTGGGGATGTGGGGGATGTGGGGATGTGGGGGATGTGGGGATGTGGGGATGTGGTTGAATGACGGGTGTTGAGCGTTGGTGTTGATGGGGGTGTGAGTGAGTGTGGGGTGTGTGTACGGCAAGGGCATGAAGGCCTCTGGAGTTAGTGGATAGGATGGCTGCAGAGGGAGATGCACTGTGCTGCTCCTTTTACCTGGTGCTTGGGGTTTGTTTCAGATGGGTAGTTATTTGGAGGTTTGTCAGTTGGACGACATTTGTTAGCTAGTTAGTTGGCAATGCCGTTTGTTTCTTTTGTTGTAATCCCCTCTTTTTTGTTACCTCCTCCCCCCCCTGGCCCCCCCGCATTTCCCCCTTCTTTTGTCCCCTCCCACCGGCATGTGGCTGCGTACGACACTACTGCTGCAACTGCATTCGGTTGTTGCTCATGCGGTTGCTACTGTCCTAGGTGCTGGCGACGTTGGCGTTAGGTGAGGCGGGCCGGTGGTTGACCAGTTCAGGTAACCGACTTGTGGTTGGCGGTTGGCCGTTGATCATTACAGTGCTGGGACCAGACATTGGCAAACAGGGTATCCATGGTTTCGGGAACGGGTCTAGTTCTGTCTTCCAGTACAATTTCTGTTACAAGGCCGCGGAATGGAAATGCGTTTTTTGCAATAGTTTGACATTCGTGTACGGCGGATGGTCGTATTTCTGCAAGCCGGCCGGCTTCGAGACCTCAATTTCTGTTTTCGGGAGTTTCGGGTCGTACGGAAACTCCCGAAGCGTTTGCCGATGTCTGGCTGGGACGTGTGATTTAGGGATGGTGACGTTGTCGTCGTACACGGTGGTTGTGTCTGTACGGCATTTCTTCACGGCTTATCTACATTACGAAGATCTTCTCCCCTCTTTTCCCGCCGTCTCCCCCCCCATTCCCCCCTCCGCCGTCTGAAACCCATTTCACCCTTTTCTTAGTCCTGGTACGGCGTGTCTTATTGCCTGCCCCAATCTCAATTTAGTACCTCTATCCGTACACTCTTCCTCCGTACAGTTTCATTTATTCCATTTTATACTCTTATGAAGCGTGTCTATTGTTTCAGACGGTCGTGCATCCGTCCCTTGTAGGGCTTGAGGGGGTCGGGGGAGCCCTCACCTCACCTCACCCCACCTCACCTCACCTTAACCTCAGAGAGGGCATTTCCGTCCCCCTCACCTCCCCCAACCCCAGGGGGAGGGGGAAATAGCCGACTCAGTAGGACACAGAACCTCATCACGTGCGCACTTCTCAACGCCTCAACCGCCGTTTCATCATCATCATCATCATCATCATGCAGCTCAGCTCGTGTGTGTATCCATTTCCTCGCCCCCCCTTTTTATCTTCCCCTCCTGACACCTGCATTTATTTACATGTATGTATGTATGTATGTATGTATGTATGTATGTATACACGCATGTGACACGCGACCAGGTCTAGCTGAGGGTGTGGGTGAGAACTCCAACGGGTGGGTGTCCTCGGTCATCTTGGCGGCGCAGAAGGCCGCGAACGCCACCGCGCTGTTCACATCCGCTGCGGCATTGGACCGGGCGCTCCACAACGATGGTGGGTTGCGTATGTATGTCTATGCGTGTGTGTGTGTGGGGGGGGGGCGGGCCGTACAAAGCCGTCCGGCACCATCGGAGGGCACATCATGTGTTGAGCGACGGCACCATTGAGGGGTCCCAGGCCGCAGCCTCCTGTCCGGGACGTTTGCATCCCCCTTTGAAAACAATTTCGTAAGGTGGTCAAGCCATTAGCGTTACCGTTACCGTTACCGTTGATCGTCGTCGGTGGTTTTACCCAGCAAAAGAAGAAGAAACCCCACACATACAGAACCACTTGTTGGTCCCTAACAAATTACCCCAGGGGGCAGCAAAAACGATTTCACAGCATGGGTTGTTGTTGTTGTTGGTGGTGGTGGGTGCTGTTGTTGTTCTTCTTGTGGTTGATGTTGCGGAGCATGCAGGGGCCCCCGGGTTTCCCCTCAGGTGGTTACGTAAGGGCAGGAGTCTACCGTACACTTGGTTTCCTCTAACCCTCCCCCCCCCTCCCCCACTCGTTCGTGGTTCGTCTTTCCCCCCTCCCCCCCCTTCATATCCGCCGATCTCGCCAGATGG